TCTTAGGGTTTTCCCTAGTGCTAGAAACTTTTATAATGCGTGTACACCCTGTAATTCTATAAGCAACAGCGTGAAGCGTTTTAGATAGCAGCAAGCGCATTGAAACTTGTTTTTAAATATTTTTCTCTTTATTTCCTTGATTAAAGGAACTTTCAGTGTGCTTGAAACCTAGATGAATATCTTTTAATGCACATAAGATTAGAAACAAATTTTAGTGTTCTTTTTTACATTATGTATTTTCAAGACAACTAACTACAGGGTATCAACTAGTTAGATATCTTAATATAGTTTCACTCAACTCGAAATATATAAGTATCCATTATTTACTTTGTTTATTGAGTAGTTGTCTTAACTTTATGCTGAGTACCTATATTTAAATGTCTGCGGAAAGTTAATTACAGGGTATTCAAGTTTAAACTTGCCAAGTTTCGCTAAATAATATATATAGTTTAGACTCCCAGCTAACCACTCATACTCAAATGCCTACTGATTACAAGCGGCAAATAGAAGTTTGCTAAATTTGAACTAAAATCGATATATATCGACTAAGAGTTTATTTTATCCAGCAACTGGCCTCAGCCTATGTTAATATTTGTATTTAAATTTCTTCCTAGAGCAGATTACAGGGTATGAATCAAAAGTTCAGACCGCAATCGATAAATATCAATTACCAAATCAATTCCTATAATACTATAAGTATCGCAAAGCTGCTTACAGGGTATCTGCTCCCTCAGTAGCTATGAACTGGCTTGTTTCTATTTTTTAGTATCCCAACCGCCAGTCGAGCATGCAAAACTTGGCCCTTTTGTTGTCTATGTTGGCCAAGTCGTTTCTGTTGTTGTTGCTTTTGCATTTCAAGATTCTTCGCCTTTTTTTGACGTCATTTGTTAGACATTTATAAGCAAATCTGGGTCTTGTTAGCATACGTTTCAAGCTCTGTGTATTTGTTGCTAAACTTTTAGTCAAATCAAAACGAATGACCCGCTGGCCCCGGACAAAAGACTTGCAATGAAACTAAAAAAAGCTTTCAAAGTATTAACAAGTTCATAAAATTTCTTGTAAATGGAATTAACTACCGATTCTTGGGAATTTCATGGCACTGAATTTAGGGGACTCGCTTACTTACAGGTAACTCGAGTGGAAAACTCACGTGGAGACAGAGAGACAGAAAAATGCCCGAACAGAAAACTCTTTATGCAATATTGAGTAAAGGAAAAATACGTAATATCTTAACCTTGATTGGAATTAAATCTAACGGCTAACAGTTGTTAAATAACACCCAACTTCTAGAGAAACTTCTTCGCTTTGCTTGTATTTGAAGTGTCTGACACTTTGTTGGCCAAGTTAGCCACGCGTCGTTTTCTTTGCGTTTGTCTTAGCGAAAACCACTTGGCTACCCACCCGCCTCGCCCACTGGGAGTTGCTTCTATTGACATTGCGCCTGCCCGTTCAAGTGACAAAGCAGACACGTTTATTTAACTTTTGTTCGATGCCCGCTCAGAGTCTTCGGATACCATAGATCTTATCCTGTTTTTGGCCAGCAGGTCGAACACACACCCACCCAGCTACACGTGGAAAAAACCACCGCAAATTAATCTCTGAGCAACGCCTCGAACAAAACACACACAATAGCTACAAATTTATTCATGGAAATTTATGCAGCAAGCGAGGGCAGCTTTGTGAGTTATAGGCGATTAAGTTGCCATAAAAGCGCTAAAAGTAACTAAGATTGGGGCTTAGCACTTATAAAGGCTTTACTCTTAACAAATTATTCTTATAGCAGCCAAACATGGAAATCATATTTAGTATAGTTACAAGCAACTAGGCGAAGTCATCAAAAGTGGGCGAATTTTTAATATAAAAACAAACGAACCTAGCTCTAGTTACGAAGTTACGATAAAGAAGCAAACGTCCCTGTGTATCCTATATGTCATATATTATTATTATTATATAATATATATTTAGTTGTTGGAGCTGGAAATATTTGCATATCTTAAGCGACGAACTTGGTTCTGTAAGCTCACCTATTGATACAGTATTGATACAGTATATTGAACAGTATTCTATATACTCTACAGTTGCTTTTTAATCGTAACTTATAAAAAATTATACTAAATAGATATTGGATACCCTAGTTACGAGCTTCAATTGTTCTAAAAACTAACATACAAATAAGAAATAAGAAGTTGTTACATTTCTATAAAATTTTGATAACTTAAGTAATCCATTTAATAGCATAAAATATGATATCGAAAATAAGTGTGTATAAAATAAACATCCAATCAGATGTCTGAGTTGTAATGAATGTGCAATGTGTTCTATAAATATTTATTAAAGATTAATTATAAATAATGAAGGCAGAACTTTTGTTATATATATATATTTACCTTAGATCAACTGCTCAAACTGCCCTTGTACTTGACCAAAGCGAACATTTATATTTGGCAGCGAGACATCAAATTCAATTTCAAGTTTGGCCGTAGCCAAACAAACGTGAGATATGCCAAAGCTATTTTCAAACACACATCCTTGGGCACGTCAAAAGGTGGGCCAAGACAAATCCGCTATAAGTCTGCATATATATATATATATATATATATATATATATATATATATGGCTGTCCAGCAAATGTGCTGTGTGTCCTGTCTCCCTTGACCATTTTCAATTTAAAGGCAACTGCAGTGTCTTCAACTTGGCTGCTTTTGATTTTTATGTGGCCATAAATTCAGTCTCGGTACCGAGCTTAATCTCATCTCGAGCTTCCGGGCAAGATATGTAATTGCATGCAATGCGCCAACAGAATGGGTTATAAATGGATGCCAATGTGTTTGGCCCCTGCAGCTATAGCCTTAGCTGGGGAAGAGACGTGGCTACAGTGCAGCTGGAAAATTGATGTCCTGTTCCTTGAATAAGACATTCTATCTCACTCGCTCTCGTTCTCCCTCTTTTCGCTGAGTGCAGCAATAAAAGATACATTTGTCGTTTTCCAATTTGTGTAATTTCATGTTGTTTGTTTGTTTATTTGTTTATAACTACATCAATAAATTATGTATCATATTCATACGTTTTTTCTTTTCTTTTCTTTTTCTCACACTCTCGTTGAAAGGAAAATTTGATATTATGGAATTTTGTTGCGTGCCGCCGTTAGCTCAAATTGATTGTTTTTACTTTCTTTCTCTTCCTTTTTTATATATATTTGCGGTTGGAATTATTGGGGAACAATACTTGAAACATCTAAGCACAAGTTAACTTTTGTTTTCTCTAGAATTCGGTACTCGTAAAGCTATAAGTTAAGTATGTTTATGCATTGAATAGCTTCACAAAGCCAATTGACTATATATATATATATATGTGTGTGTGTGTATGTATATATAGTCCCATTGATAGTTTCTTCAGAGAGTATATATATATAGATTTGTTAATGATTCTTGTTTTCGATTTCACATCGGCCAGCCGAAGACTTAGAGTGTGTGTATTTGGGTGTGGGCGTGTGTGCTCATTAAATGATTTTTATGTTAAGTTATTTAAATTTCATTTTCATTTTGTTTATGTTTAGTTCGTAGGGTGCTAAAGGGTTTGCTGGGTACTAAAGGGTTTGCTCGCCAATTAAGTATAGTTTAAATGTTACATACTCATATATTATGTGTGTGTGTGTGTAAGATTTAAATTGCTATTGTGTATTAATTGTTGTTGTGCTGTGCGAGTGTGTTTGGGATGTGCAGAGAATCGAATTAATAAGGCCACTTATCATAGTAAATAGTCAGAGTATAATGCACACATACACACAATTACGAGTATGCAAGCATATAGCTATATAGATATATATATATATATATACTGCATACATATATATACAGTATATATATATATATATACTGCTCTTATCAATGTCAATCTTGTCAACTTCGCTTAACTAGCCTTAACTTAAGTGGCCTTTCTAAACTTGTTATTATAATTTTTCTTTCAGTGTAATATTTTCTTCGTATTCCTTTTTTCTTGTTTTTTATTGAGTGTGCCTACAAAATTGTTGTGTTGCTGTGTTGCTACGTTTCGAATTACAAATAGCACTAATCGAATTGTTTAGTTAACTTCTAGCATTATTTTGGCTGCTTAACATGGTTTGAACATATCTGATCGATCTACTAGACAATACAGCAGCTAATATATATTTCAATTTTAATTACTTCTTTTCCGTTATCGCTTGGTAGTGCATTTAGCTCTATGAATCGTAAACATGTTGTCGTTTACTAAATTTTGTAGTTTAAACTAATTAACTACGCTCATTATTGTTATGTTCAGCTGAAGAATACTTATATGCATAACCATGTACATATGTGTGGGGGTGTGTATGGGTGTGTGTTGACATGAGTGTGTATTAAAAGTGATTAGGCCACATGCACTCTGCGTACCGTTCAGTTATATATATATATAAGTTTATATATATATATATTAACTATTATGTATAACAAAAAATTTCTATATATGAACTGGCTGCGCCAATAGCTTGATATATATACATATATATATATATATATATATATATATATATATATATATATATATATATATATATATATATATATATAATGTTTATAGATTATTGTATTGGCTGTTCATTACATGCTTCAAAAGTTAACACAACTTGGAGATCGTTTAAAACAAGCAAACAAAAAAAAAAGAATGATAAGAAAAATCAAAACTTGACCTATTTACAGAGTCAGAAAGAATATAAAAATAATAATAGTTATTTAGAGCATAAATTAGGAAAATGTAATGCTTATAATTTCATAAATGTATCAAAGGAAAAATTGTCTAATTCGGTGTAAAACACAAGGAAATAAATTAGGTGCATATGCTTTAACAACTAAATCAGATTTCGCATTAACATTTTGTTTGTGTGTGTATATGTTTGTTTGTGTGTGTGGGTGTGTATTGGGGGAGGGGGAGTGTATGTGCCTGTGCAGAGCAGAGCATTTGCAGTTTGCTGTTTATCTTCCTATTCTTCTTCATCTTTCTTTTCGTCTTCGTCTCCGTCTTCTTAATGTTGCTTAATGATTGGTAAAGTAAAATTTGTTGTTGCGTATGTTGCCACGTGTGCGCCAACGAATGCAACTGAGCAGCGCTAGCCGTGCATTGCGAATGAACACCTGGCCGTAGGCACAGCAAGCGCATATGCGACGCACACGCTCGGCCAGCGTACGATGTCGCCGACAGCGACGTGGACGCCAACGGGGCATATCTTGACGTCGACGCCGCAATTGACGTCACTTGCGACGCTGGAAGACGCGGCGCAACGCCTTGCGCCAAAATAAGCGCTGAGATTTGGGTTTGCTGTATTGCGCTGACATCGGCGGTGGCGGCGGCGGCGGCACCGGTGGCAACTGCTCACCCATGGCAACGGTTAATCCAACATCCTGCACACCATCCACATCGATGTGCTTCAACGAAAGCTCACCAAATCCAAAACGTTGACGCGTTGGCGTTGCGGGCGCCGTACGCACAGTGGCCATGGCATGGTGGCTCGCATGTGACTGTGGTGTGGGTGGTGCAGAGGTGGTGGCCGAATAGAGGCGTGCATGTGCAAGCGCTGCCATTGCCGATGCCGAGGTGGAAGCAATGGATGAGATGGAGGCCAATGTGGCCACAGATGCTGTTGACTGCACATAATCGGACAAAGCAACGTCGTCGTCTGCTGCTGCTGCTGCTTCTACTGCTCCTGCTGCTGCTGCTGCTTTTGCTGTTGCTTCTATTGCTACTGCTACTGCTGCTCCTGCTGGCTGGCTGGCTTGCAGCCAACAACCAGGCTGCATCGTATCTTATCTAAGCCACTCGTGCTGCAGACACTCTGCAGCGGTGGCACGCTTGGCCGGATCAAATTCCAGCATCGGTTTTAAAAATGCCGTAAACGCTTCCGCTTCATGTTTCGACCATTCATATTTCTCCACCAGCACATCCATGAGGCCCCACGGCTTCAATCCAGTTATGTTCCGCAGTTCACCATTGCGATTAAACGTATACGTCGGATACGTGCCTCGGAACACAATTTGTCGTGGTATCGGCCCAAGCAGCTCGATTATATGGGCAATATGATCCTCATCGCGCGTATATGTATCGCCCGAATGTGGCTCAAACAGATAGTCGCCAGTTGCCAGCTCAAACACCATGCAGGCGGTACTCCATATATCCGCCGAGGTGTCATAGCCAGCGCCAAGTATAACTTCTAATGAGCGATATTGTCGCGTCTGTATGTCCTCGGTAAAGTGTCGATCCACCCAGCAGGCATTGCCTAAATCAGCAATCTTCACCTGCACATTGCACGCCTCAAGCGCAGGATCGCGCTTTACTCTTTGCTTAGCCAATGGAGGCGGCGGTGGTGGCGGCAACAATGGCTCCGAATATGGACCACCATTGGTGGACGAGGAGCCCTCAATGGAGATATTTGAGATTTTCGAATTGCTATTCGAGTTTTGCTTCATATTCGCATTATTATTATTTATCTGTTGACGCTGCTGCTGCGGCTGCTCCTGCTTGGGCCGCGATGTCTTCTTATTGCCGCCTGCGGCACCGTTTGATTGTCCTTTAAGCGTGCTTGTTGAATGGCTGCTGTTACTGCCATTCGTATTGGAGCTCTTCAAAGCGACGCTGCTGCTGTCGCCGCTGCTGGTGGAGTTCTCCTGTGGCTGTTGCTGTTCCGGCATCTGAGATTGCTGCTGATTGAACTTATCTGTTGGATCAAATGAAATTACATGAATATACAGTTTATACGAAAGCATAATTTTCACCTACTCTTGTTCTTCCGTTTTCTCTTCTTTTTGGCCTTCTCAGTGCCATCCAGCTCTTGCTTATTTAGCTGTACCTCCGGCTCGACGTCCTCACATCCGCCACCTGTATCGTCACCATCCACATCATGCTCGTTTTCAGAGGCGCCTCCATCGCCATTTAAAGCATGAGTTGGTGGCAGTTGCTGCTCCAGCTGTTCCTGCGGCTCCTGTTGTTCCGTTTGATCGTCGCCGCCAGCTTGTTCTAAATAATCGCGCTGTTTCTTGAACAGTTCCATACGTTTCTTGGCCTTCTTCTTGAGCTTCTTCTTCTTGTTCTTGCTCATCTTGCCAGTGATGGGCGGTTCGCGATACTCCTTGGGCGCACGACTAACCAACGATGGATACATCTTAGAGTTCATGCAGTACAATTGTGTCGCCTCAACGGCCAGCGAACGAACATGCGGTTCATCCACACACAACAAGACATTCTCTGGCTTAATGTCCGTGTGTATGATCTTACAGCAACTATGCAAATAGTCCAGACCCTCCAGGATCTGACGTGTTATGCTCTTGACATTCTCCAGCGGAATGCCACGATAATTGGATTTGCGTATAAGCTTCAATAGATTATCGCCCAGCACCTCGAAGACCATACAAATGTGGGTACCATTCACGCCCGTGATCTTAAAGTCATCGAACATTTGCACCGTCTTGTGGCGACGCGGATTCAATGGATCCGTCTCACGCACCGTTCTGAGTATTTTGATTTCATCCTTGGCCGTTTCAGCGAAGTGCTGCGCCGATTTCACAATCTTAATGGCCACATAGCGTTTCTCCTGCAAGTCCCAGCAGAGCCAAACAGTCGAAAAGTGACCCCAGCCCAATTTGCGAATGACATGATAGCGACCTGAAAAAACAAAGATTCGATTAAAGTCGGCCAGCTCTGTTGGGGTTTCAGTGTGCACCAATTAAAAAAATGAAATCACAAATGTTTGCCTTCGATGGCAATAAATCCATATTGCAACAACTCGCTACAGACTCGGCGACCAAACTAAACTTGATACTGGATTCAGCTGGCAGAGCTCTTCAGCTGCGGATTTGTCAGCTGCTTTATTCACATATTGGCTATTGTGCTCATAGTATATAGATACAATATAGGGTGTGTCTGTGTGCAACTCTATATATATATATAGTCTTGATTAGTTAATAAACATGTTGAACTTTTTGCATTGTCTGCGGGCTGTTATCATGGGACAGCGGCATGTGCCTTATCGCTGGACAAAAAGGTTAGCGGCATTTTCTTTGATTATAAATTATAAATCCCCCTAAAATGAACTTTATGCACATCATTTGCTATAACAAAAGCCCTCAAACCAACAATAGGTGGAAGGCTTGAGTTGATGGGGCAGCAAACGGGTGGCAACAACAATAACGACAGTATCAGAAAGGTGGATGCCATGCAGCCAGCAGCAACCGCAAAGGCAGCCAAATTCGTACAGTGCCCCAAACCCATAAGCAACCCTTGAGCGAGCAAACAAACCTGCTCACATCATTTTACACATATATATATATATATGTGTGTGTGTGTGTTGAAGGGGCGTTCCATATTAACAACCTGTTGGCAACAACAACAGAAACAAGCACAACCCAGCATAATCATGTTCACAAACTGTTTTTGAGCTCGGCTGCCCCCGAACTAAAAACAAAACAGGAGTAGAAACGATTGCGTTTTGGGTCAGATTCTCATTGCAACACGAAATGGGTTTTTGTGAAACATAAAAAAAATAGAAAGCTACAATGTCAACTAAATAAACAGCAAAGTTGTTGCGAACACGCAACGAAGCTTAAATACTCTAACAAAATCGATATATTAATTAAATCAATCAACTGTGAACCGTGAGAGGGCAGCAAAACATACAAATTGAAGGGAACGTTGGAATTAGTGAACTAGAACACTGAACTTTGTACAAACTGTGACGATATAGTTGAAAAACAAACGTTTTATATATTTCCAAAAATAAAACCTTAGAAGATAACCCACAGACCTCAAATTTATTATTGTCAAAAATATTGAAATATGGAACTTAGCAGCAAAAGCAAGCTTTTAACTGTGTGAATACAAATAAATTTAAGGGAACGTTGGAGCTGTGAACTATGAACTATGACATAAGGAACAGAGGAATTGGTAAACAGCCTACGAAAAAAATTGAGAAGTAGAACAAGTTTAGTTATGAGGTGTTAGGTTATATGTTTAGATTTCTATGAAACAGTGAAAAACGGAAAAGGAATTTCATATATGTTAAGATATAAAAAAATGAATTTTTTATTGCAAGATATAAGATATCTCATAGATGGGAGCTTCCTCATCACATTTATCACTTTTTTTTCAAGTTGACCAAAAATAAGTGAAATGAATCATGGAGCAGCAATGCTTCATCTTGAGAACAGCAGTTAAAAAACTATACAAAGAAATTTTGGAATTGGTAATCGTACAAATGGAAATGACTCAATCTAAACCCGAATTAGGTAACTAACCTATTCAGCTAGGGTATACAACAAATGGCGTGCGATCTAACGGCTTTGTTTCTTTGTTTTGCTTTTACTGCTGTTTGTGTGGCAATTTGGTGTGAGGTGCAAACAGGTGAGAAAAACGGTAAACGCAGGCAAACTTACCCTGAAACAAATCACCAATATTGACTGGATGGTAGCCTCCCTTGCAATAATCCTCCTTAAGTTCTTGTTCCTCATTTTCGCTGACCATTTCCGATTCGTCTGATTCGTTGGATGAGCTGCGCGCTTGCTGCTGCTGCTGCTGCGACTGCTGTTGCATATTGTTTTGCGATTTCGACTTTGATTGGGCATCGGGCGTATTGCCCGAACCACCGCTTGATGTGGATGCTGTGGCATTGCTAAAGGATGCCGAAGACTTTGAGTCAATAGCGCCGCCAGCGCTGTCAACATGCAGTTCAAACTTGCTGGCGCCCTCTATGTGGCTATTATTAGCATTTTCTGGTGCTTGAGTTTCGGGCTCTTCCTGTTGTTGTTGCGGCTGATGCTGCGGTTGTTCTTGTTGCTGTTGTTGTTGTTGTTGGTTTTCTTGAACGGGAGCACCATTTGCTCCATTTTGCTTGCCTCGTTTCTTGTTGTTCCTATGTCGCTTCTTCTTCGCTTGAATAGCCAAAACACGGCGGTTGACGTCAGCTTTTGAATTCATATTATTGTATTTGCTGATAGATGTTGTTGTTGTTGTTGCTTTTCGTATATTTTGTTATACGCTTATTATATGTATATTGCTGCTGCTCGCTCGCTCGCTCGCCTCCGCTAATTTTCACCAAGTGTAACAGCTGTTGAAGAAATAACAACAACAAATAAAAAAATGTGCTCAAATCTCCAAAAGGCAATGCAAAAAGTTTACGTTTGTATTGTGTTAGCTAATGTTGTTGTTGTTTCTGCTACTGCTTTTGTTGTTTTTGTTGTTGTTGCTGGTGTGCGCACGCCTTTTCCTATGCTGGGGCTTCGTCTACTCGCCTCGGGGCTCCCACTTGTTCCAATTTGTCAAAGCAGCAGCTGCTGCTGACTGTTTGCTTTAAGTGCAATCACACAAAGCTCTGAGCAATATTTGGCAAATATAATTTACAAAAAAAACCAGAACGAAATGTGTTCGCAATTTACTTGGCAACGCGTATTGTTTTTTATTCACTGATAGAAAAAATCAAATGCAAGTCAAACAAATAGATGGACGGGCGAAATTATGCCAAAGTGAGTGCTGCCAACTTTCGCGTTCTGCATGCACACTGCACACTGTGCACGCGTAATTTAGTGTTAATTTTTAAAATCAAACAAAATAGATCTACATTACGCTAACTATGAAAACGATGTCTTAATAAAAATGTTAACTAGTGTAAAAATGTGCAAATTTGAAGTATGACTGAGAAACAAACGAGTTAAGTTGGCAGCACTTGTCGCCTAGTTAATTCTTAAAGTGTGCTCACTCACACAAACACATACACAAGCAAATAGCTCATATTGCCTGCTCGCTTACACGGTGGCTGCAGCACACAATTTGATTTAGCATTTGAGCTACATTGGTTGTTTACAAATTAGCGTTTCTTATTATTTGTGTTTGTCAACTTACATGACTTTAACGTTTTGCATGCATGCTAATCCAAAGACATTTTGTGGTAAAGCGCTTGGAATACTATCCCAAACGTTGGCTGCGCACCTATAAATCCGCGAGTGGAAAAATCTACTGCCCAAAATACAACACTGCCTATGTACAGTGTTTGTAAACGTTATAGTTTGACGTCAATCAGCTGTTGTTTAGTGTTGTTTGCAATTCGTATAGATAGTTAACCTTGATAAAAATTTGCAAAACAACAAATTTTAACAAAGGAACAAATATATAAAGAAATTCATTAGGGTTTTGACAGAAATTGATGTGACATAGCAATACAAAAAATTAAAATATCGATATATGTATCAACGATAGATATCTATGTACTACATGCTCCTTGCATTAATACTTATCGAGATATTGCTAAAAAGTCAACTTGTCCCTTGTTGTGGCGAAACAGCTGACTGCTGCAAAGTACACAAAATTTAGATGTGCCGCTTAGTCCTTGTGTAAAAGTTAATATCGATATGACTTTTTACTATATGAGTGTTATATGAATTGTTAGTTATGAAGTTTCTCTGAAATTCTACTACGCAAAATGCTTCTGCCTCGCACAGTGCTGTAAATCGGACTTATTATACCAACAGCTGTGCGACGGCGTTGTACAACACACACGAGCCATTGAAATGGCGCGAAAATAATTTGGCGCGTCGCCGAACATTTGGAGGGAAACTGCATCGCCGTGGCCCAGTTGTAATTCGAGCGGTGGCACTGACACGACGTATATGGAAATATAATAAGATATAAAAAGAAAAAGTGAGATACCCACACAGAAACCGACGTGCCCTAAGTGAAATTAACAAGACATATACACAACAGCCCATAAGAATAGCATTTAATTCAAATAAATTTAAAAAAAAATGGCCCAGCCATCGGTAGCTGCATTTTTTAGCAATCGTAAACGTGCCGCAGTAGATGATGCGACGACCATTAAGAACAGGGTAAGTGGGTGCAGAATGTGATGCAATATACAAAACGTGTTCGAAACTGCAAAAGATTAAATACATCCTGAAGATACTTTTGTAACTTCAAAGGTGTTGGCTTGTGTATGTGTGAGGGCTTGTGTGCGTGTATGTGTGGCATGCCGCGTCCTGCGGCCATTTTCTTAGCAATAGCAAAACAGAGGCTCTTTAACCAGTATTCTTTTACAGCGTCTCGCGGAGCCCGTAGAGGCAGCCGCTCCACAGAGTATAGCTCAGTCCAGCTCGCATACAGATCAGGATGTGGACATTGATGCACTTAAAGGTGGCGTACGCACCCGCTCTGGCCGCACCGTCAAACTTATTGGCGTACAGCCAACACCATCAGCGCAAGAAAGCAAAAAGAAGCCCGCCAAGGCCGAGTCAACCATCAAGCAACCGAAGCTTGTACAATTCATACGCAAGGGTAATCTCTCACCACGCAAGCAGCCGCCCAATCAGACAGAAATCCCCAATGAGCAGACACCCAAACTGAATTTGGCTGTTGTGGCCAAACAAATAGCTGATAATGCACAGCGTGGCATGCGCACGCCCACAAAGCAAATCATCAAAGATGCCTCGCCCGTTAAGCACCTGGAGCTGGCCAAGCGGGGTCTCACCTTCGATGAGGTCAAAACGAAGATCTCGCGCAGTGCCAAGATGCAGGAGCTGAAGGCGGTGCTAGCACGCAAAGCACAATTGGAACAGCAACGCAAGGCGCAGGAGGAGCGCAACAGACGCCTGCGGGAAGCAGGTCCATCGCCGGCCAAGGCAGCCAAGAGCCTGCAGCTAAAGGAGTTCGATACCATTGAACTGGAGGTGTTGACCAGGTGAGCTCCATGGCTAATTGACTGCCACAATAAACCCCACTTTGGCCTAGAAACGCAAAAGTAAACAAAAACATATGCAGCACACTTACCATAAAAAACCGGGTAACATCATTAACAAAAAAAAGAAGAAATTTTTAAGGTTCTTTTTTTTACAATTCATATATAGCTGGCTATCGAGGTCGCATGTCTGTTGAGCTATTATTCAAGCGTCCAATTGCTGAGATTGCAGTTTCTTTTGACCAAGCCGTAGCTTGACTTCAGCTTCATGTTGCTGTTGTTGTTGTTGTTGCAAGCGTGACGTTGTTTGTGATCTATGTGTACTTGAATTTATGCTGCATTCGCTTACACACACACACACACAGAGACACGCTCGTACACACACATGTTTACCCTTCGCCAACATACGTTACAATCTTGCCTGACCTTTCCATAACAACGCTCATTTCGGGGGTTGTTTATCTCTGTTTCTGTGTTCTCTTCTTCGCTTCTCCCGCCTGCATGGGAATTTTTAGTTTCGACTCTCCCTTTTTTTAGGTAGCTCACAAATGTAACGGACTTTAACTGCTTTCTAGAGGGTTGTTATTATCGCCTTTCTGACTGCATCAGCATTTTTGTACCACTTGATCAATATTTTTTTCTGATTAGACTAACGACCCTGTCTTCTATTACTGGGTGTATAAGCTCTTTGATCTCAGGACTTCTTTGGGCAACTTTTTCTTTACTGCAACCACCAAAGCGCCTTCCTTAAATAGTACAGTTTTTACGGATTTTGAAAACATTTTGATGTCATATAGAAAACATATATTATATATATAATATCATCTATGCTTCTAGCTTGCAATATTTCCCTCTTAGGCTTCACTTTGCGTATATTCTAGTTTATTCTTGTATTTCAATAAATATAGAATGCTTCACAGAAGTTTTTTGGGAAATATGATTTGTCAAAATTTTCAAAAAAATATATATTTTATATATATACTAAAATATACAAACTTTATACACAGATACTTTCTATCTCATAAATTAGATTACTTTAATCTTTAAAAATAGCTTTATTCAAGCTAAATCTATATTGAATTTTTTTGTATTATTCCATAATAAAATTGGGCGTACTTTTATAGCTTATAAAGCACATTTGAAATACTAGGGTTTCTTCCGAAATTCTTAATAAATTTAAAAACGAGATTTCCTCTAAATATATAAATATATCATAACATAAGTCTAGATAGATCATAATATAACACTTGATGTATACTGACATAACTTCTAATATATCAAATCATGATCCTTCAAAGACATCTCTAGATATTGAAAGCCTAACAGAATATTTTAAATATACTTAATTAAGATTAAGACTTAAGTCAATATATTTAAATATGATATGCTAGCTCTTGAGATAACTTGATCACAGAATTATTTCCATATAGTTATATACATATAAAAATACTATAAAACTTTTAAAAATTTAATAATAATTAAAAAAAAAAAAACAAAAATTATTAACTCATATTTTACCCACATCTCTTTACTTATGCCCACAGTCCCTTGAAGACATTCAAGACGCCCACAAAACTGCAGCAGCCCCCGACCCCGGATAAACATGAGTTAATGTCGCCACGTCACACGGACGTCTCGAAGCGTCTGCTCTTCAGTCCGGCCAAGAAGGGATCGCCAGCCAAGCTGCTGGAGACGCCAGCCTATAAACGCTATGCCAGTCTCGTCGAGACGAGCAAAGCCGGTCAACTGCCGCTGCCATACAAGCATCGTCATTTGCTGGAGGTATTCAAGTGCTTGGACTCGGTGGTGGCCATGTTCCACAATCGCAAGGAGTGCATCACATTCAAGAAATTGAAGCCAGCTGTGCAGCGCATGTTGCGCAAGAATTTCACGGAAACGCATTTGGCACAGATCAAGCATGTCTATCCCGATGCCTTCATCTTCTCGCAGATGAAGATGCGCAACTTTGGCTCTGTATCGAAGGCGGATTACTTTCAGCTGGTGATCAGTCCCAATGTGGAGCAGCTGCCCGAGGAGCAGCGTATGAATAAGATCAATGAAGACGATGTGCTCGCGTCGGCTCAGTCGACGTCCATGAATCCACATGTCATGACGGCGCGTGTCCAGAAATTCCAGCGTCTACTGCTGCAGCGTGTGCTCGAGGAGCACGATAAGTTTGTGCGCTCTCTGGATCCACCAATTATCATAGATCGGGCTCTGACACGTTGGCATCCGCAATTCGATTTGGAGAGCTGCAGTGAGGTGGAGTTGGCTGTGCTACCTCAGCCACCAAATGTTGAGAAATATTCATCGGCCAAGGACATTTTGTCAACAGCTCGTAATCTGTTCAACTGTGCCACGCCCATGGAGCGTGTCATGGATCGATATGAGGCTAAGCTGGAGGCGGATAAGCAAGAGGCAATAACTGCCACCACTGAGACTTCAACTGCCACGCCCACGGTGCAGCAATGTACACCCGTAGCACCTGTCGATGCAACGTCCAATCTATTGAAGGGTCTACCCAAATCATTGATAGACAAAATACGCGCTAAGCAGGCAGCCAAAGCCTTGGATGCAATGACGCGACGTCCGTCACAGGACCAAGAAGCAACCAAATATTCGCGCCTGCCGGAATTGGCGCGTCATCTGCGAAATGTCTTCGTCACAGAACGCAAGAGCGTTCTAACCCTTGAGATTATCATCAAGAAAATACAGAACAGTTTCAGGGCGAACTTAACGCCTCAAGAGATCGAAACACACCTGAAACTTTTGGCCAAGGAATTGCCCACGTGGGCATCATTTCACGAGGTGCGGAAGACCATGTATATTAAAATTGCCAAGGACATGGATATGAATAAGATCATCGAGAAATTGGAGGAGATTGCGAATGAGAAGAGCAAATAATTAATGGAGACTTGGAGATTACGTAAAAACAAAGCAATTCCTAGACCCTGTGGACTACATCCAGCTATACCATTTATATGTATGTTTAAATACAACGCTTACTTAGGCTCAATTAAATTAGGCAATTCTATTGTTATTCTTACTATTGACATAATTATTATTTTTATTATCATTAACATTATTTGACCAAATTATAAAAGCAATCACACATATTCATCACATTCAATATGTCATTTTCTTAAGTAATTTACCAAGACACTACACTACAACATAAATTAAGAAACATTGTCATTGTATTAAGTTGATTAAATAAATGTTTTTTTCTGGCAAAGTATTTAATTGTTAAAATTAATCTAAATTGTTTAGAAATAGTACAAACCGTTTCAATTTGAATTTATGCTACGGTATATTTTAGTACATTTTTTGAGTCTAGAGCAACATTACTTAATTTATTGTCACAAGTTAAACCTTGAAAATAAATGATTCAGAAGCGAATGTTTAGATGCCTTAAGTCAAATTTTCATTTAGTAAACAGATAAAATATATAATTTTGTGTATAGTATTTAAAAAACTCTAAAAGTGTTGCCACACTTTGTTTACCATTTGAATGTCTACATTGGTATATTTTAGTATATTTTATTTTTTATTTTTTGAGGGTGTGGTAACACTTAAAACAAATTCGCGCGCTTTACATATGTTTATTTTAAAGTCTTATTTTGGCGAATTACCTTCAAAATGCTTGACGATGGGACAGATACAGACATACCACAGCCTACAAGCGCTGCTTCGGGTCAAATTAAAGCTATAGCCAAGGATACTGTGCACAAGATCTGCTCGGGCCAGGTAAACTACAGCCGAAGCAAATGCTAGCAACAAGCTTAAATTGTTTTTGATTTGTTTTTATTGTTAGGTGGTGCTTAGCTTGGCTGTTGCCATCAAGGAGCTGGTAGAGAACTCTATAGATGCAGGCGCCACGTTAATTGAGATTAAGTTGAAAGAGCAAGGCCTGCAGGGCGTGGAAGTTTCTGATAATGGCAGTGGCGTGGAGGAGGCGAACCTAGAGGGCATGAGTAGGTGCAGCTAAGAGCTGTCCGAGATTATAATTCATTGAAATGTTCTCTCTTATGTCAGCTGCCAAGTATCATACCTCCAAGATACGAGAATTCGTCGACCTGCTGGGCGTGGAGACTTTCGGCTTTCGCGGCGAAGCCTTGAGCTCGCTCTGTGCCCTCTCTGACATGACAATACAGACGCGTCACAAGTCCACTGATGTGGGTGAGTATTAACCATGTCAACAGTAATTCCTTTGTCAAGCTGCATGTGCTTTACAGCACTCAAAATTGAACTTGATCATGAGGGACGAATCAAGAAGCGCTCACCATGTGCCCGAGGCGTGGGCACAACTGTCAGCCTCAGCAATCTCTTTGGCACGTTGCCTGTGCGTCGTCGCGACTTCACACGTAATATTAAAAAGGAATTCAACAAGATGTGCCAAATACTGCAGGCCTATTGCCTAGTAACACGTAATGTTCGCATCATTTGCACTAATCAGAGCGCAAAAGGTGCAAAATCTGTAATACTGCAAACACATGGAGCTGCCGACGTGTTGGCCAACATCTCGGCAGTGTTTGGAGCACGTCAGGTCTCGGACCTAGTGCCACTTAAATCGCCCCTAGAGGCGGGCCAGCTGAGTGAGGCGGGCTTGCGTGCAGCGCTGCAAACTGCGAGCGATGCAGCTGAAACGACTTGCGCCGAGTTTAACGCCGAAGATGTGGAACGGCTTAATGAAGCGGGCTTCGAGCTGGAGGGTTACGTATCGAGCTGTCGTCATGGCGCAGGCCGTTCCACTCGAGATAGACAGTTTTTCTTTGTCAATGCACGTCCATGCGAACCCAAAAATGTAAGAGCGAAAAATGTGGAAAATTTATTTAGTTCATTTAATTTACACCTTAACTTCCACAGATAGCGAAAGTCATGAATGATGTCTATCATCGTTACAATGTGCAGCAACAGCCTTTTATATACCTCAACATTGTAACGTCCCGCGCAGAGGTGGATGTCAATTTGACGCCTGATAAGCGACAGCTGTTGCTTAACAATGAAAGGATTTTGCTGCTGGCCTTGAAGAAGTCGTTGCTAGACACTTTCGGCACTCTGCCGTCGACTTTCCAAATGCAAAATGTTTCCATAGCCAGCATGCTGGAGCCTAAAGTAAAGGTTGAGCAATCTGAAGCGCCAACACCAGATGAAACTGAAGAGCTAGATGTGCCCATTAGCTCCTCGCAGCGTTTTATGGATGTATTGAGCCAATGGCGACGCACAGGCGATACAAAGGGCATTGCACCGCCAGTGACTGTTAAGCGGCGCTGCGATGAGACGGCTGAGATTAATGCGCGCTCTATGAAGCTGCGAAAGATACAGGATTTCCTTACACAAGAGGCGCCCAAAGCGATTAGCTACAAAAGCGAATCAGAGGAGGAGGAGGAGAAACCGCAGAAAACTATTGACAGCAGCTTTGTCAGCTTAAAGCAGCTCAAACAGGAGTCACTGGGTAAGCAGCTATGCAGTTGTTGGCTTAAGCGTAATCCTATACCTTATCTCCTTAGCTTATGAAGAGCTGCTGCGGCCAGCTAATGGACCCCGTATTGACTGTAAACCATTGACGCCACTGAAATCTCGATTAAGCATAGCAGAGCTTAAGCCAGCGCCCTCAACGCCTGTTAAAAGGGAGTCCAATGAGCAGCTGCTCGAGTCCCCTGCAAACGAGACCTCCAACAGTGAAGCTCAGTCAGAAGTTGTAATCACTTCGCCGCTGGCAAGGAACGAGTCCTCCAACTCCGAACCCGTCATCCCTTCGTCACAGTCAACATTAGAGTTCTCTCAACTCCCCGCGTCTCAATCAAACACCGAGTACAGCGATGATGAAATAGAAATGCCTACGCGCATCGAATTCGATGGCAACAGCGATTCCGATGGGTCTCCACCAAACAAAGCCAGCGGGGAGTTACGCACCTCGCTGGAGCAAATCCGAGCCAGCTTGCAGGCGCAAGAGCAACAGCATGTGGAGCGGAAACGTTCGGCCAAGCTTCAGCGCCTGCGTTTCAAGAGCGAAATCAATCCGAGTCAAAATACAAATGCCGAAGCCGAGCTGCAAAAGGAAATAACAAAGGCGGATTTTAAGCTTATGCAAATCATTGGACAATTCAATCTGGGCTTTATCATTGTGAAGCTAGAGGATGATCTCTTCATAGTGGATCAGCATGCAGCCGATGAGAAATACAATTTCGAAATGTTGCAACGCAACACACAGCTCGAGCACCAGCGTCTGACAGTGCCTCAAACACTGGAGCTGACGGCTGTGAACGAAATGATACTGCAGGATCATTTGGCGGTGTTCGAAAAGAATGGATTTAAGTTTGAGATAAATGCAGAGGGTGAGCCCATAGACTCGGGCATATGCTTCATTACATGTCTAACAAATTCTTGTCTTCTGTGCAGCGCCACCAACGAGGAAGATTCGTTTGCTGGGCAAACCCTTCAGCAAGAACTGGGAATTCGGCAAACAGGACATTGATGAGCTGATATACATGCTGCAGGATGCGCCAGAGGGCACAATCTGTAGACCCTCGCGCATACGCGCCATGTTCGCCTCGAGAGCTTGTCGCAAATCTGTGATGGTTGGCAAAGCGCTCAACAGGACGACCACCATGCGACGGCTCATCACACAAATGGGCGAGATTGAACAGCCTTGGGTGAGTGGAAGAAGACAACTTAGATTTTAGAGAAACATAGCACATATATATAAGATGTGTATAGCTCTTGAGACTCTCAGAGTTTACTATAATATGAGCAGTAGATGAATGAAAGAATCTTAGACTTAGACTTAAAGAACTTTGCTTCTGAAGCCACGGGAAACCAGCTCAGCGACTACGGAAACTTCTCTTCCGCGCGTCTCAGGCAAATAGAATTTGGTAAGCAAAAAGAGCAGCGCTCCGAATATGGAGAAAATCAGAAAGATCCAAGAGCCCATTAGCGAGTGCATGGTAGGAAATAGAAAGCCAACGAGGAAATTGCAGCTCCAGCCCACCTGATTGCCCAGGGAGTTGGCCACCGAGCGAGAGGGCACCTCAAAGAGCTCTACAAGGAAAAACTTTCAACAAAATCGAAATATCAAATGAAAATTGAGCCCAACCTGTGCCGATGAAGGAGGGCATAGGACCCAAAGCCAGCTGAAAGAAAATGAGGTAAAGGAAAATGCAGGCAATCGTGCCATAGACGAGCCAAGGAAACAGGCGCTGCATGAAAGGAAAAAGTTAGCGATGCAGTTGAAAGGATTCGGAGCCAACTTACGCCATACTCCACAAACAAGCAAAAGCCGAACATTAGCAGCGCACAGAAGAAGCAGGAGAGCAGCATCAAGGTGCGTCTATTAAACTTGGCCATGAGCACAGGACCTAAGAGCGCCGTAGCCAGATTGACATTGCCGGCGCACAGGCTAAGCAGCTCAGCGACTCTGGGAGATAGACCGCTGCTGCGAAAGATGAAGACGGAATAGTAGAAGATCTGCCGAATGGCCAGATGAAGTGTAACTCGATAGGTAGCCGTCAGCTGTGTGGTGAACTCACCGAGGAGCAGCCCGTCAGCTGCTGTCCGCCTTGGTACGAGCAGAGGAGGACCAGCGGCAGCAACAGTTTGGAGTCCTTGAGCACCTCACTTAAGCTGCGACTGCTGTGCTTGCTCGCCGCCTCAAGCTCCATGGACTGCAGCTCCAACTCCAGGCCAGCATGTCCGCCACGTAAGCGAACGAGCATTTGCAGCGCCTCCTCCTTACGCTGCTTCACGATGAACAGCCACTTGGGACTCTCGGCATAGCAGCGATACGGAGCATAGCAAATGGCCATGAAGACCACATAGAAAGCCAAGGCCAGATGCCAATGGTCAGCATCGCCCAACAGCGATTCCATGCTGCAGATCTGAGCCATAACAATGCCCGTGGAAAAGCCCACCGAACAGCCGGCGCCCAGGGCGCCACGCTGTGACAGCGCTGCAATTTCACTGTGATACATGGGCAGGCCCGTTGTGATCAGGCCAGCACCGATGCCCACAATCAGGCGACAGAGCAGCAGCAGCTCCACCGACTGCAGCCAGCGGCAGCAGACGAAGCCCAGAGCAGCCAGGAGCAGCAGCAAACCGCTCAACAAGAAACAGCCGCGACGCCCAAAGCGATTGGCTGCCCAAGCGGCACAAGCGGAGCCCAAGATGCCGCCAATTAAAAATATGGACACAATCAGCGCCCAAAGCGTGTCCAGCTGGGCAGAGCTCAACTCCAGCTGATATTTGTGCAGCAATGTCGCTGCACACCAATCGCGCATGTGCTGCAAGGCAGGCGGGGATTAGGCAGTGACAGCGTCATGCCAGTTGCTTAAGCTTACCGCAGCTGGATTATTGATGATGCCCATGCAGTAGCCGCCAGGCACAGCAGCGCCAATGGTGCTGCCCAGCGTGCTCCATATGAGCATACCAGTCCATTTACCTTTCTGTTCCATTGCGCTCTTCAACTGACACTAAACTGGCTGGGAAGCTGCAACGGTGTATTTAATCAGCCGCCAGGTAGAAGCCGCTAATCCGCTCAGAATTTATTGCCCTCAGGCAGTTGGCATTAACTTTGGCGTGGCATAGGGAATGTAGCATAGACAGAAGTCTATCTACTATATATCTTATATATACAATATATATATATATAGACTCTTGATTTTGGGGACTCATCTAAGCCAATCTAGTCGACTTCATCTGTTCTGTTCTGGGCAACCTATTGATATGTGATTTGTATATCTTCAATAGCTTATGCCAGTAGATAGCTCGAACAACTCGCTTTAATATATAGCCCTTAGGGCTACTAACTGTCGCACATATATAATTAGAGATTATCTTATCTAAAAAACGTATCTTTTCCTAATCAGCTTCCTTAAAGATGCGCATTGCGAGCTCTTAATGAACAGTAGCGCATCAAAATATGAAATCTATATCATATATATAGCTCAAACTGTTATATAAAAAGTGTTATATAGCCAGTAGATAGCTCGAACAACTCGCTTTAATATATAGCCCTTAGGGCTACTAACTGTCGCACATATATAATTAGAGATTATCTTATCTAAAAAACGTATCTTTTCCTAATCAGCTTCCTTAAAGATGCGCATTGCGAGCTCTTAATGAACAGTAGCGCATCAAAATATGAAATCTATATCATATATATAGCTCAAACTGTTATATAAAAAGTGTTATATAAATATATGAGTCTATATATATAAGCATATATATCAAAATGTGTCATGGAATATAGAAAAAAGAAGTATTAAAATGTAAAAACAACCAAAGAAATTGGTATAACAGATTATATATAATGCTAAAGATTATAACAATTATCAAACTAAGCACAGCATGAGTTGAGAGCTTATAAGGAATATGAAAACGAGTCTAACTAAAAGAAATGCTATTCAAAACGTTCAAAATTGTAAGTTAAATAAGTTGTATAACAGTTAGTATGACAAAAAATATAACAGATGTCAAGTCATGAAAGAATAACGCAATATACCTAACTGAAATAAATAAGATTGTGGGCTCAATAAAGCGTATAACAGTTAGTATAACTAGTATTATAACAGATTTCAAATTATAACAGACTAGAAAAAGAAATGAAAAAAAAACGAGCTCACCGTACTTATTCATAGTGACACATTAATATGTATAACAGTTAGTATAACACTTATTAGAACAGTGGCCAAACTATCCGCTCTTTATTTTTCAAGACAGACTAAAATTATAAACTACTATAACTGAGAAGGATATAGGATATGTTTATTTGACTCTACCTAAAAAGATCTTCCATAGATCAGGCAAGGAATACAGTTATAGATCAGCTATATATAGAATCTGAGCTGGCCTTTCACCTGGGCCGCTTTGACTTAAAGCCATCGGCAACAAGTCGCGCCACCTCGGATGGATCTCGACCCCGAGTCTCTGGCACATAGCGTAGGGTGACCATGAAGAGCAGCAGACAGATGGTGGAGCAGGGCAGAAAGACCAGAGCACCCCAGGCACTTTGCAAGCTGGGAAAGGCCATGCCAATGATCAAATTGCATATCCAATAGACGACGCTGCCTAGGGACATGGCAGCCGAACGCGGCGCCACCTCAAAGAGCTCTGTCAAAAGAAGAATTCTTGAGAGGATTAGCAGCAGCAGCAAGAGGACTTCCAACACTCACCGGCGCCTATAAAGAAAGGCAACGGACCCAGACCGAACTGGAAGACAACAATGTACAAAAAGATGCAGACAATGCAGGCCAAGGCAAACCAGCTGTAGCGATCCTGCAATAGAAGAGCATCAGCTAATCCTGGCCAGAACTGAATGCGAATCACTCACGATGAAGTGCAGCAGCATGGCAAAGAGAAAGAGAAAGATGCAGCAGAAGAAGCTGGAGAAGAGCATCAGTGGACGACGATTGAAGCGCTCCATTAAGATGGGACCCAACATAGCGGACGCAAGATTTGTGCAGCCAGCGCCCAGATTGGCCAGCTCCGCTTGCTGAGGACTCATGCCCGCTTGCCGGAATATGGAAACCGAGTAGTAGAAGATCTATGAAGCATCAGTCAAGCGATTGCCCAAACAGAGCAACTGCAGCCACTCGCCGCATTGATGCCTGACAGCTGCTGTCCGCCCAGGTAAGCGAACACAATGACTAAGGGCAGACGCAGTTGAGGGTTGCTTAGCACCTGGAGGTAGCTGCTCGGCGTGCTCTTCACGCGTGCCTCCTCCTCCATGTCACGGAGCTCCGCCTGCAACGCTTCACTGTCCTTCGCATAGCCACGCAGCCGTTGCAGCTGCTGGGCCGCCTCCACCTTGCGCCCCTTCACAATGTAGAGCCATTTGGGACTCTCGGGATACCATTTGTAGGGCGCATAGAAGATCACCACAAAGACGCCGTAGAGGGCCAGCGCAAGGTGCCAGTGCTGCTGCCCGCCCAGCACCGATTGCAGGCTGAACACTTGTGCCACGACCACGCCCACAGTCAGGCCCAAGCCGCAGAGCGGTGCCAATTTGCTGCGCTGATGCAGCGCAGCCAGCTCGCTGTGGTACATGGAAATGCAGGCGATGACCAGCCCAGCAGCCAGGCCCACCAGCAATCGGCCCAAGCACAAGAGCTCCACGGAGCCCAGCGGACGACAAGCATAGAAACAAATGGCGCCCAGACCCAGCAGCAGACCGCATATATAGACGGAGGGACGACGACCAAATCGATTGGCTATCGAGGCGCCCGTCAACGAACCCACAGCGCCGCCCACGAGAAAGATGGACACTACGGTGGCCCACAGCAGCTCCAAGGCTCCAGCGCTTAGCTGCAGACCGTAGCGAGCGAGCAGCGTCTCCTGGCACCAGGCGCGCATGTGCTGGAGAGGAAGAGAGTGAGAGAGGAAGGGAGGAAGAGAGAGAGAAAGAAATAGGAAGTACATTCTCAGTCAGGTATAACAGAAATTAAAACGAAACAAATAGAATATGGAATATAACAGGGTGTATAACACTGTGTATAACAGAAAGTATTATCAACAGGATGTCCATACTCCAATTAAAGTATAAAACGAATCACAGAAGTCAGGTAAGGCCGAGGGATATAACAGCATTGTATAACAGTTAGTATAACAATTATTATAACAGATGACAGTCAGAAAAGAATAGAGACAACAAAAAGCATCTCAAAGGTATAATAAAGTGGCATACTGATATGTATAACAGTTAGTATAACACATTTTAGAACAGTGGCCACCTTATGATGGAATACAATGATATGATAAGGGACAAACAACAAATCCATATACAGCTAGTATTCGACGGACGTATAACAAAAAGTATAACAGTTGTCCAGTTGAAATAGTTACTCACCGCAGCTGGACTATTGACCACGCCCGTACAATAGCCCACAGGCACAGTGGCGCCCAACGTAGTGCCATAAACAGCAAACTTCAAGGCCCAGCTCCATTTGGGCTGTTCCTGTATAACTCGAGTAGTGCAAGTGTTATACGTTAGGGTATGGAATTCCTGTCTTACCAAACTTTAGCGCTATTGCGCTGCTTCCCGAAATGTCAATGAGTCGCCTTCGTTAAGCTGATCCATTTGACAGCTGGCTTCCAAATGTGTGGACCCATGGAGGCAGTGCTTTACTGGCCACTGGGTTGGGGCTGTAATTCATTTTGGAATCCGCATCAAAGTGCTGATAAGGGAGCACGTTCACGATGCAGATAGCGTACGGCTTCTAAGTGTAAATTTCTTTAATTGCCTTCTCACTACAGAATTGCCCACACGGTCGCCCCACCATGCGTCATCTAATCAATATCACGATGCTGATGGATGAGGATGAGGCTGAATGACAGCACATGACAACGACGCCCCACACTAAACACTAGAAGCCGCAATAAAACGTGCCACAACCAACAATTCGTCAACAATGAGTTTTTCTTTTATATATACGTGTAGTAATAGATAATATATATAGTGTTTCACACGCTGATCGTGCGAAAGATATTGAAGCCGCTGTGCGCAGTCGAGAGCAGCACGCCCGGCAGCTGGGCATGCCAGTGCAGCTCCTTGATCTCCTTTTGGCCTTGATGTATGAAGAGCAGCTGCGGCGGCAGCTTGTTGATTTCCTCTTGATTTTCTGCCGGCGCTGGTGCCTGATCAGCATCCTTTTCCACAGCCAGATCCCATAGCGCAATCTGATCATCGTCGCCGCCAGAGGCCAGCACGGTTGCCTCGCTGGGATTCCATTCAACAGTTGTTATGTGATCCGTATGATGTTTGAATGTGGCAATTGGTTTTTGTGTCTTGAACTGACGCAAGTCCCATATGTGCAAGAAGCCATCGTCCCCGCCGCTGGCTATGAAGGGTTCCGTATGGTTCCACGAGATGACATTGATGTCGCTCTCGTGCGCCTTCTCACAGGTAAGCATGCAAGCCTTTTGCGGAGCCGCACGGCAATCCCAAATTCGTATGGTCTTGTCCACTGAGCAGGAGGCCAGAACGCTGCGCTCATTGGGGCTCCATTGTAGATCCTCGACAGAGGCCGTATGTCCGACCAATGGGCGTTGATCTACCTTCCAGGTACCATCCTCCAGTGGACTCCATATATGTATATCACGTCGACAATCACCTGTAGCCAACACTCCCTCAGCACTGGGGCTCCAATCAATGGCAAATCCCTCCTGCTGATGCCCGCTAAACGTATAAACGGGTTTGGCGTCATTGTTGGCGTTTTGCTGTTCATATTGCTTGAGCAGCTGGGCATCTTCAACGGCCTGTAGCTGCTGCGATAAATTCCAAATGTTCACGCGTCCCAATTCGCTCCATGAGGCAGCAAACACATTATTGCCCATGCGACGAGCGCGCACTCGATTCACACAGCCTTGATGCTTGATCAGAGCGCAGGTCATTTGTGGCTGCTTCAGTTCACTCTTGTCTGCCACATCATCTTGATCGTCCTCCAGCTCTTCGTCCTCGTTCTCATCTTCATCATCTTCCTGTGTTTTGTGCAAATTGCTCATCTTCATCACAATCAAATTGTTAACGTGAGTGCGCGCTGCCTGGGTGCCGGCTACTATATAGGCAGTCATTGGGAAGCTCTCTCTGGATGCGCCTAGCTCATCGGGCACTATGTCGAAACTGAGACAGGGCGCGCCAGTCGATGCCTGATGCAGCATCACATAGGCGCTTTCATCGCAAACGAGCTCCTCATCCTCGGCCAACGTTTTGCCCGGCAGATAAACTTGTTTAGGAGCTTTTGTTGTGCCATCCTCATTCTCTTCGTTGTCACTACCCGGCTCCATATCGCTTTCCGCATCCTCTGGTTCTACAACCTCCATATCAATCTCATCCTTGGGCGGATCCATGGCCATAATATTCAATTCCAATTGAAACACCCGAAAATGTCTTGTTTTGGCGCTGCACGTGTGCAATTGGACCAGCAAACAATGTGACCAGCACTGCTTTCAACAGGGCTACTACATTGCTGAATTAAAATGAATGAAAAAAATACTAGAATAGAGCATTGGCTGATCACACCTGAACAATACATTGTTGTCTTATACAACTTATACAACTGACTCTAGAATCTATTCGGTAGCGAAATACTAACGTAAAAAATACTAGATTATTTCAGTGAAGCGTAGTGTGCGGGCTGTTATCAGTATTATTATATTGTTCACTCTTGCGACAGCAAAATAGCACAACTGAAGTAATACTTTAAATAAATAGAGCAACAACAAATTTTTTAATTCAAATGGCTAAAGCTGGGAATCCATTTAATGTTCTGCGAAACATTTACAACAATGAGTTCCAGTGGTAAGTAGTTGGCTGTTGTGCGTGGTCAACAAAAAACCCAATGTCGGAACGATGTTTACATAACCACACTTTCTCTTTTAGGATGTTGGTAAAAAGTTTTGGTATGTTTTTTCTGGGCGTCCGAATTGCCAAAGAATTTGTGGGCGTGGAATTGATGCCCACTGTATTGCCGGCTTAGTGTTTTAATGGAGAAACAAATTCAAATTCACTATGTACAAAAACAGTAGGGGGCAGTTAACTAATTGTAATTAAAGACAAAAAAAAATTATTTACAAAACAGTTTTTACTCTCTAGTTTCTGCTAACAATCAATTGCTTTATCTTTGACTCATCCATATCGATTTCATGTATCAAACTATCCGCCAATATGCGCGGCGTCAATTCACGTTGCAGAAAGTTTGCAACCAACTTGCGACTGGGCACAGCGCCTCCATGTGCAAGAATCTCGGCACGATACTTCTCGCCCGCTTGCCGGTTGAAGGGATTCGCTTCGAAGTACGTTTGCCAAATCCAGGAGGCAATGGTTTTCGATATCAGATACGCATAATACTTGGCACCATATCCCACCAAATGGGAGAAGCGCAATTGCCAGGCCGTATTATCCACATATGGCAAGCCATAATAACGATTTTGTACATCGCGCAGCTGTTCTGTTGTACTCTTGCCCTGTTCAGCCGCCTCGCCATGATAGACCTGATCGAGAGCCGAATAGAAGACCTGCAGCTGCGTCTCACTGGCCGCAAACAAGTGCTTTGAGGCGCACAATCGTTGCAGCATATCGTCCGAGATGGGTTTGTGAGTTTGGAAGTGGCGGGCAAAGGTGCGCAGCACTCGAGGATCACTGGCAAAGTATTCCATTAGCACGCTGGGCACCTCGGCAAAGTCGGTAGCACAACGTGTACCCGTCACATGTTGATATTCGGTGCGTGCCAACATCGAATGCATTGCATGGCCCATTTCATGAAACAGGTTGTCGAGGCGAGCGGGCGATAGCAGCGTTGGTCCCGTCCACCGTGGCTGAGCCAGGCCCAGCATAACAACCACAATGGGCAGCTGGTAGCTGCCGTCGGGTAACCGCTTGCCACCTTGTATTGTGAAATGGCAATCCTGATTCGGTTTGCCCACTCGCTCAAAGAAGTCACAATAGATATACCCGAGGAGTCCTTCGCTCTCGTGCATCACCGCCAGCTTGTAGATGTCGCTGTGCCAGCTCTCGCCGGGCTCCATTTCTGTATTCTGCAAGCGAACGCCGTATAGCGAGTGCAGCAAATTGTCTAACCCTTCCATGCAGCCGCCCAGCGAAAAATAGGGCAGAAATTCATTGGCCTGCTCTTCGAGAGACTGGCGCTTCAGCTGTGATGTAAAGTAAGGCGTATCCCAGATCTCGACAAGCGCATTATTTTGTCCACTTTCCTTTCGCTTCATTTGTGTCATCACCGCGAAATCGGCATCAGCACGCGGACGCAGTTGCTCCGATAGCTCATCAATGAATTCTCGCACAAGCTCTGGCTTTTCCATGGTGCTGCCATTGAGAGCACGATGTGCATAGGTTTCAAAGCCACAACTACGAGCCAGTTCATGGCGACAGATTAAGAGATCCTTGAGCAGCTCCTCCTGGCTATCAGAGGGCTGTAGGTACAAGCGATAGGCAGCTTCCCGCATCTGTACGTTCGCTGCATTCGTGCAGAGACCTGTGATGATGATGTTATCGCCAGATGTGGGAAAGCTGCAAAACCAGAGTTGAAGATTACTTATTGTCTCTCACTGCAGCTAGCACTACTCTTCTCTTACTAATCCCTTATGTCTTCCGGCACATAACTACGCGCTAGCACCGTAGGCTGGGCGGCTCCATTCATAAATTTCTGTCCAAGCTGGAGAATATAATCATTCAAACGCACCACACGCAGCCGCTCCTGTTCGGGCAAATGTATGCCGCACTGTTCAAAGTCAAACAGAAACAATTTGGCCACATGACGATCCACCTCGGTGGTGGGCAGCAAATCGTCACCGTTGCAAACCACTTTACTAAGTGCCTGGTACAGCGGCTTATGCGTATTCAGACTCTCGACAACGCCGCAAATGCTAATGCATGCCTGCTCCGCTGACTGCATATATTTGTTTTGTGGATGAGCAATGCGTACGAACTCGGCCAGATCGGCGACCTTACACAACGAGTCGGATAGTTCGTCAAAGATGTCCACCATTTTGCGTTTCCTTTCGCTGGATATAGCCTCTGCGATGAGTTCTTGCGTGGAATTCTCCACATTTTCGCGCAGCAAATGAAACCCATCGGCGTTGCGCAGCTCTGGCATGCGAAAGAGACCCTAACATTATCATAATTGAATAGCAAAGAATTATAATTTGTTAAAACTTTCTCTTTCAGTTGGAAGCACTTACCACATCGTTGCGTGTAATATTGATTCGTTTGGTTGGCGGTGCATTGAAGGCTGTGCCCAGTGGAGACCATGTGGATAGCTGTTTTTGTTGCTTATGTGCAGCATTTGCTATATTACGGCCAATTTTAAGCATTATTATATTGTTTAAATTTCAATTGAATGCCGACTATTACATATTCAGAGGCCAATCAGCTGTTTCGACAAACATGCAGAACAGAGGGAAAGAGAGTGCATACAAATACTTCACAAACTAAATTTCGCCAAAAAAAAAATACCGAAGGAACAGAGCTGCCATATCGCCATGAAACATTTATAAAATCTTATCTAAATGACAGATACCAGATTGCTACAATACTGTGTGAGACAAACGATTAACAGTATTGCCAGCTCATTTATTCATTTAAATGCTACCATAAACATTACAGTAAATTTATAATTCTCTTTTAAAGTTCTAAATATGTTAAACATTAATGATATTTTTAGGTACAATATTTTCAACTTAGCTGTTAAGCTACGTAACTGAATTTGAGATCGATAAATTAAGAAATTATTAATGCATAGAACGAATATAGCAAAAGGTAATCAGATAACCATATTTGACAGTTGCCAGAGAACAATCCAACGGTATTACTAACCCAAGACGCAACTTTTGAATAATTGACAAATTTAATCGATTTGACGCCTTCGCATTTCTGTGCACCACCGATTATGCCTGAGAAATAGGTTGAACACATAATTGGCGAACCCAAATCCCCGGGACAAACTTGTCCCTTGTTCTTCGGCTGGGCGCAGATGCTCGTGTCTCTATCATAACTTTCCATTTCATTACAAAACTCATGAGGTTCTATAATTACTTCCAGATATAACAATTCATTGGCATATGGACCATGCTAAATAGTGGATATATATATATATATATATATATATATATGTATATATATATATATATATATGTATATATATATATATATGTATATATATATATATATTTATATATATATCGATCAGAGACAAGCGATTAACTAGTTCGATAGCGATTATTACCGGATAAAGCTGACCCCAGCCCATGGTGATGCACAACGTGCCAGGGTATACCGAGGCCATTTTTCGTTTTGTTATCGGCTTCACGTGTCGCATATTGCCCGGAATTCTGTCCACTAAGCGCAATATAGAAACATCGTATTTAAGATAACGCTGATAATGTGGATGCACCAAAATTTGCATGACTCGTCGGCTTTCGTCCTTCTGATATTTTTCTAATCGTTCCACTGAACCAAAGACGACCAGCAAACCACGCGGATTCATTATGGATTTGTGACGGCTATAAAGCAGATATATACCCCCATATTTGTATAACTGTTCAATTGAGCTTACTCAGTCACACAATGAGCCGCCGTTAAGATCGTCTGACTGCTCAGGATGACGCCAGTGCAAAAGTGATTGTCGCCATAGAATTCAATGAAATGCAAAGTGCGGATCGATACGATATTCCTCGCAAATTTGCCGAAATCGGGCAGGATGCCGCCAGCAATTAGCATCTGAAATTCATCATCGCTGTTCCGGGAAAGCGTACCCTGCTCCCCATATTCCAAATCCAATCGAATCACAATCAGTAGACAAATAATTAAGATCTGATATATATTCATTATTGGTTTGCTTCTACTCAATTGTTGAAAGAATTTTTCTTTTATGCGAGCAACTGGCATATATAGCACACAGTAAATAGATTATAAATTTAAAAAATATTATAGAATATAATTGTGCTATGACTTATATTCCCGAAATATTAGTGAGTTTTCAATTGCCTTTGCGTTCATTATGCAAAATGGCGGCAAAGCAAAATGGAATATCATCATTGATAAAAACATGAGTCCATCAAGAGTATAGTCGGTATGCAACTTACTGCTTAACGAAGAGCTCATATTTACATTCAAATGACTTGCAATATTTAATAGTAAATAAACACAAAGCAAAATGAGAAAACATGACCACTTTGAGTACGATATCGATAGATGAGTTCGATAGCGATTGCCAATCAGCAGTGTATTTTCCGGGCTTTGATCGAGTGCAAGTTATGTGTGAACAGATATTCAAAAGTTAAGTGTATGTTTTCTTTTATGAGTATAATATTTATTCGAGCAAGTAGCTCCCAACTACATATAGCAAATACTATGTGTTACAAAAATCGTACACAAACTCTGGCATATGTATGTATGCATGTATGCACGTATGTCTACATACATACATACATACATATGCATGTGCCTACGTACATGCATGCACACATGCATGTACATACATATGTATATGCAAAGCAGCATCTGTCTTAGATTTTTCTAGCACATGAGGCTGAAATTGGAACTACATAGTAACTTCTGTAACTAGTAATAGCTTCTGTGTGGCTAATTACGCCCACTGGGCGTTAACACTCAAAGTAGAACACAAACACACATACATACACCATAATATATATAGACAAGACATATATATATAAGAGTGAGAGAGAAAGAGAGATAACTGTAATGGATAACTGTAGTAATTTTGCTGATTCGTAAATTGTGTTTTATGTCTGTTTGCCTCATTTTCGTTTGGGAAGCTTGTAGTTTGTCGGCGGATGCAACTTGAGATGATCCAAAAAAACTGGTTGCATATCCGCACACCAGGAAATTTCCTCACGCACACGCACCGGCCCATCCTTGCAGGTTAACCAATAGGTGCTCATAAGTCCCTTTCCCTGCAAAATAGAAACATATTGTTGGCTGTTAGGAAACAATATTTTAGCGTGTTATTACGGATGTAGATCATAATTGAAGTATCGATACACATTATCGAAATTGACGTGCTTAACGAATATTGAAAAATACCAATTTGAGCATCTCTATAGTATCGAATATGTAAGCATATTTATAGTGAAAACCAATAAGCGTGCCATCGATAGTTCGAATATCATTTTCAAACTTAAGCCATTAACTCACCTTGACATCGATGAGTCCGCGATGCTCGGTCTTGTAGCCGCCCACCTGCTGCAGAGCCTCGTGCATCTCCTCGGTGATATGTATCTTCTGTGCCTCGCCGGTACTCTCCATGCGCGATGCCGTGTTTACCGTATCCCCGAATAGACAATATCTTGGCATTTTGGTGCCCACAATGCCGGCGACAACGGGTCCGGTGTGAACGCCGCAGCGTATCTGAACAAACTCGTCGCCGGCGCGTGGAATCCGAAACACAGACGAGGCGTCCAGCAAATCAAGTGCCATTGTTGCAATCTCGCTGATGTGCTTGTTGCCTACGGGGGCGAGCCAACCGAAACATATGTTTAGTATATATATATATATGTTTTTTTTTTTGGTAGGGGGTCAGCATAAATTAAGGACGCACAAAGCCCAAAATTAGCGCAAGTCTGAAAGATGGGAGTGGCGATGTTTGAGAGCGGCAAGGGATGTGTGATGGGGCGCAGTGAGTTGGGTAAATGCCTGTTCGGATTGACAAGTTGACAATTTGCATGAATTACCGTTTTTCACGGGCAGCCCAGAGGCAACCATATAGGAGTCGCCAATTGTTTCCACTTTGTAGACGTCGTAGCATTCAATGCGCTCATCAAAAACGCGATAGATCGAATTGAGAAAGGTCACGACCTGTCGATTATAGCTTTACAATTTACCTTTTCCATTAGATTTGTTCCGGTTTCATGGAGCTTACCTCTAGCGGCGTGCACTCGGCCGCAATTTCAGTGAAGCCCACAATATCGCTAAAGTATATGGTTACCGCTTCATAGAGTTCAGCGGGCACCTGAGCGGCCACAGAATATTGAAATAGAAAATTCGTTGAAATTTAAATGCAAATACAGTAAAACCTCGCTATCTTATACTTTTTATACCTGCAACCTAAACAAATCTCTATGGAAATTCAATTGTTCTTTAGTTATATAGTAAAATATAACACTACACCCATGCACACACACGCACATTCTCACCTGTTGCGTCTGCTTGAGTTGCATTGCGACGCTTGGCGGCAACATTTGAAAAAGCAACGAATCACTTTTGCGTTTCTCCCGTTTCAACTCCTTGGCCTTTTGGGATAGATTCATGGCATAAAGCTAACAGCGAAATCAAGGTTTTATACTAATTCAGCGCATTTCCTTACAGTTCCTACCTGTATTGTGGCTGCTGCATTCTTGACTAGTATGATTATAATGGGTGATACGAGCAGCACAACAACCAAAATAGCTATTCCGATCGCCTCCTTGCGATCTGCTTCTACTAAGGTTTTATCCACGTATTCTCTGCAACAAGACAATCAGATAAATATCGCTGCTTATAACTATGCTATGTTTTAATTATAAATGAAAAGCGGTTTCCATTTGTTTTGGTGTTGATTATGCAAAATGGCGGCAAAGCAGCATGGAGTATCATTATCAATACAAACATAAGGCAATAAGAGTGTATTCAGTATGCAGCTCAGTGCTTAACGACGAGCCGCCATTACATGTTAATGACTTGCAGTATTTAATTGTAAATAAACACAAAGCAAAATGAGAAAACATGACCATTTTGAGTACGATATCGATAGATGAGTTCGATAGCGATTGCCAATCAGTAGTGTATTTTCCGGGCTTTGATCGAGTTAAAGTGAAAATTTTCAAGTTTTGTGTGTAAAAGTGTGTTTAAAGGTATGTTTGATAATTACTTACTTAATTAGTCGTCGCAGCGCCTTTTGCAGTATGCGCAAGTCGTCCGTGTAGTTGTGCATAAACTCATTATATTCAACTGCGCTGCGCTCGTCCGAGATATTTGGCTTATTCTTCAACACCATGTTGCTCCTAATATATATATATATATATTATATGAATATACTTAAAGTGCAAATATGAGTAGCAACTCACATAAGCTTAACCCGATGGTATTTCTTTGAGCTTGTTATATTTGTGTACATGGGCTTCAGCATTGGCGCGTAGTTTAAAGTGGAATTAATCATCTCGCGCGCCATAAACTCGTATCGAACGTAGGAAACAAAGTTCTCGGCAGTGAGCGGCCCTCTGCCATAGTAGCGTATGCCAAAGGAGGTAGCTATATTCTGACACTCAATGCTCTTTAACAAATTCTTAAAGCCCACCAAATAGCTGCAAGAGAAGTTTGCATAGTAAAGTGTCGGCGAAGGGGAGGAGGGGTTACGCACCGCCAGACGCCGCTATTGTCCGTTTCTTTGATTTGTTCATTTAGATGATGAAGCAGGCCACGATTAATTGATGTATACCAATTCATAACTTCGGTAATGGAACTATCCTCTGGCTCCAAGCGCACACGCTCTCGAAATTCATTTAAACGACTCTGGAATTCGTTGCGATTCAACATAACCTCTCTGTCATCCTCATCCTCATCGGGTGCCGTTGGCACACTTATCTCGCTCCAAGTTGTCATGTTATTTAGCGCATGATCCGTGTTGGCAAAGCGTTGTGTTAGATTTGCACTGAACAGCGATATATATATATATATAGATATGTATATATAGATATGTATATATATATTTGCGCAATTGTTATGGCTGTCAAAAGGTAAGGTCTATCATTATCTCAACTCACCGCTGCTTGCTGCCATTGGTGAAGATATAGAAGGCCACCTCGGAACGTTCCAGCTGCAGTCGCGTCACAACTTTACCCAAGTCCGTTGCAATTGTCACCTGGTTTTGTGGCGTAAAATGAGATTATCTAATGTGTGTGTCCTATGTGTATGTGTGTGTGAGTGTCTGTCTCTGTTCTTATTGTCCTTTGCTGGGCGTGGTCTTGATTAGTTAGTCATTCACTTGGTAACACATTGAATAATTCATCAAGTTCTCTTACTTTTGCATATACTTATTAATTACTTAGCCAAGCATTTCTCTTCGCTGGATTATTTCAAAAGTTTTCCGTTGCTATTATTGAGTTGGAGTCGGTATAGCTTGGCATAGATATATGATATGTATGCAATACTTACAGATTTATGTAAAGTGTATGCGAAAATAGTGATTCTAGGTGGCTTATCTATTAGGAAAATCTATTGGGTTTCATGAGGAAACTATTCTTGAAGGAAACATTTCAGTAAAATGAGCTAAGAAATGTTAAATATTTTACTAAATAAAGAATTTATATTTCAATAATAATTTACAATTGGATCTACTAATGAAGTGCTCTAAAAATATTATTTTAAAGCTTATAAGTTTTCTCAATTTTAATAAATTATTTCAACGCTTTAAAAGTCGATTAGAAATAGAGATAATTCCGAGACAAGAAATTATTTGTTGCTAGGTAAACTTGATTGGTCAAGTGCCTTGAAGACTTGTTCTTATTGGCAATGCCATTTCATTGGATTAATATTTCTTTCATTTCACAAACTGTTTAAATTGTGTGTTTTTTTTAGAGAATGGATGCTATTTGAGAAACAATTTCTTAACCATAAACTTGCTTTCAGTAATTTAACTTTTAATGAATAACTTCAATGGCTCTCACAGCACTGGGAATCTTCTTCCTGATTGCTCAAAATTCCATTGGGACTTTTCTCTTGTTCTCTGCATTTCTCCTAATACTAGTTCCATTGATTTCGATTAATATTTAATTTGTATTGATTGGGTATGTGGGAAAACACTCCAGAAATAGAGAGAGATGGAAATCCTTACAGCCAATTAGTCAAATTTCAACGAGCAAACGTTCAAATTTCTCAGGAACTGCTCAACAGGCTCTAAGAGGTTTCAATTGCCCTCTTGAGGTCTTTAATTGCGAAACCCGATTAAAGCGTCTTCGTTAGGGTATACGCTTATCGTGTTTCGCCACATTTGTATTCAGGTTAAGTACGTGACTCGATTCAAGGACTTTCGCAGTTTGTTTTCAGTGTGCGCATTTCCTGGCTGCCACGCCCACGCAACTGTGTAACTGTGCCATTGCATATTTTCGCCTATCAATTCACTTTAGCATCAAGCAATATATTTATTTATTTCTCTATCATTTCACTCTCATATTTTGCTCACGCATTTGCATAAAAAAAAAGATGGTGGACAGCAGCGGAGCTCCAAGACCCGCACTCAGGTGGCAAGGGATTGGAAAGCTCTGATGACGAGTTGCTTGTGGTCTTTGAGTGCCTTGTCTAGCGGCTGCTTCGTGCGCACTTGAAGCATGCTGCACTTACCTGGCCAAACAAATATTGCCGATTGAACCAACCCCTAACCCCCCACCGATCCCCCTTACGCCCATCGTCATCGTCATGGCCACCCAGATAGGACACTTGGTACACTGGACTACACATCTGCTACTCAAGTGAGCATTGACGTGAACTTTGCTTGCCTCGTATGATTGAATTTCAGCAATAAATTTTAATTAATCTTGTTCCTTTCTTTTCCGCCCTCTCTCGCTCTGTTTGTTCACTTGCTCACTTACCTGCGTCTCAATGTCGGCCACATCGGCTCGATACTCCAATATCTCTTGCAGTGTTAGTGATGTTTGCACAATCAATGCCAATATAGGTATAAATGGTAGAATTATCATCTGAAAACATGGATATATATAGATTTGTATGCATGAGTACAGTGAAACCCTCTAATAACGAATGGCTAGTTCAGTACTTGTTTGTTCTCAAGCTGAATTATGCAGCGTTAGTTATTTTACTATAATTTTTAGAATAAAAGACTTCATCTGTGTTTACAGTGCAATCTCGATTGACGAACCGTTTATTTATTTCTTTGTAAATCAATATCAACACTGTGAAGTCTTGACTAATGAACAGCCAAATAAACTTATTCTATATATTCCACGCAAAGTATTTTCTTCGCTTCAATGCAGAAATTTACACATTTAATGTAGCTCCAAGTTCAGATCGTACTAGAGGATCTTCCCGTTCTAGTTTTCTAGAATTTGTTTATTTTTCTGGATAAACTATATCTGACATATATTTTGTAAATTTTCCTTCACTTTAAAAATTAAAAAGCTTTAAGTAAATATTTAATATTATCATTTATAGATTCATAAATCAGAAAATATATTTTTATGAATTTTTCAAAATAGTTTTGTTAACTTTTCTATGATATTTATATCTATATGTGCCTCATTCATATTCAAGTATTATTTGTTTATTTTATTTCATGTTATCATATGTCTACTTTAGTTCTAATGGGATAAAGCTGATGAAGCATGAGTACTTGTATGAGAGACAAGCGTTGCTTATAATGTCTTCAGTCAAGTCAGCAATTGGGAGCTTTACCGTACTCAATCGGGTTCAGTATTATATATTGTATAGTTTCTATTGGAACTATCGATCATAAATGAGCTCAACGTCTATAGGGCTGTACTGACTTCATTCGCTCTCTCATCTCTCAACAGCTCGTCAGTGCGCTCTCAATCATGTTCGCTCTAGGCAGACTACACTGTATACAGTTTGGTTTTGAGCTCTCTAGAGCAGCTTGACAACCTGGACTATCTATTCTCATTTGTGTGTCTGTGTGTTGAAGTGTGATTAGTCTTTATCGTGCTGTGTCGCTAATCGCGCCACTTCATTTGGTCAACGCACGTGACCGACACGCGGACCCTCCATTGCCCCTGCTCCCCCGTTAGCCTCGCCCGCCGTTCAGCTGTTGCGCTAATTAAGATGCATATGCTTTTGCTAATTTATGCTGGCTAACACACACGCACCTCGCTGTCCGTCTCTTGTCCTTTTTGGCCACGTTCAACTCACCTGCATTAGTTGCAGACGTCGCCCCGTTTTTATGGCCGGATTTCGTGCCGCTGCACTGCAGCATCGTCCGCTGCCAACATTGGAAATATCCTCGGAACTAATCGAGCGCACGGAAATTTTATCGAGCTGCAGATTGTGATGCGTGTGTGTGGGCAACAGCAGCAAACCGCCGCCGCCGCCGCCACCGGCACCGCCACCTGCACCACCAGCTTCGTTGCTTGAACGAATGGCGGGATGATTCGATTTGCAGTTGCTAATGTTTATCTTAATGCATGTGGATGCTGCGGCAGATGCTGAAGCGGAGGCAGTTGCCGAAGCTGTTGCATCTACAGCTGTTGTTTCCATGTCGCTAGATAGTTGTTGTGGTTGCTCTTGTTGTTCTCGCTGTTGTTGTTGTTGTTGTTGTTGTAAACCTATATTCAATTTGCAAGCTGCTCTACCATTTAGCATATTGTTCATTGCCCAAGCGAGCACATCGAGAACGGCTCATAAATACAAACGTTTATGGCTGCATAAAAAATGATACATAATTGTTGTTGTTGTTGTAGTTGTTGTTGCTGTTCGTTGGTATCAGCTTCGATCACAGAGAGATAGAAGCACTTGTCTGGCTTTTTCTCTAGCCAACTCTAATGAGATAAAGCAGTCGGGGCAGGCGGAGGTACGCGTAAAATAATTGCAAAGAGAAATAAATAAATACATGTATGTGTGGTTGGGTGGTTGAGTGGGTGCTTGGTCTGTGGACAAGAGTTAGAGAGCGCAACTCGACTCAACCAGTCGGCGAAATGTCAGCACAACAAATTTGATGGATGAGCAGTCAGCCAAGGCTTTCATGGGTTTGGGTTTGTTTTGTGTCCTGTCGCACTTTCAGTTTAATTGAAGTTACATTTGATATCAAAGCAAGCGAAAAAAAAACAAGTGAAGATAATGAAAGGGCGAGTAAATAAAGGATTATTAGCACAAGCAACATTTCAATTGTTGCCTTTTTTTCGCTCAGTGTAGCTTTGTGCAAACAATTTGTGCAATGCACACCCATACACACACACACATGCACACATCCTTTCGACACTGCCTGTTGCTCTAGTTGTTTACTTTTCACACATCAAACGCATTTATTGATTAAACTTTTAATTGCCTTGACAAATGGTCATCAAAGGGGGCAAACGTCAATCAACACACGTTAATAAAAATAAAGAAACAAATTATGATTAACACTTTAAAAAAAGTAAAAATCATTTGCCGCTGCTCGGAACATGTCATAAATTTCCGACTTTAAACCACAAATGCGACATCAAAAATCGTTGTATATAAATTTGCACATCAATCGCGCCCGCACATAGACAATAAATATTATTAATATTATTTTTATTGCCACATTAAATTGTGTGTGAGGCGCGTGGGGGGCGGGCGGGGCACAAAATTCAATTATCTATTTGGGCCAAATGCTGGAATACCGTTAATGCCGCGCTGTCCGCTAAGGAATTTCGCGTGTTGTTCCAATTGAAGCGACCGGCAGCAACTGAACTTAAACCTGTTGAGTTTTGTCCGTTTATAGTAGGTTTCTCTAGTCCAAATCCCTGTTGGGGCAACCGAAATGCCAACCCCCAGGACCACCCACAACTGTTAAGCAACTGTTAACTGTTTAAACGGAATTTGAGGCACTTGTGGGCGGCAGCTAGCCAACTTGTTAAACGTGTTCAACTATTTGGTTAAAGTCAACATTTATACATTTATACATTTTTTAAAAAATTTAGTTTTTGTATCTTTTTTTTTTAGATTTTTTCAACAAATTTCTGTATTAACAATAAACAGTTTTGCTGCGGTGTAACGGTATTCCGGCAGCATAAACTGCTTGCTAAACTGCTTATTATGTTAGCTATAGCGTAAGCTGCTTGCTATAGACAAATAATGGATAGAGGCTTGCTGTAGCTAAGCAATACAAAGCTAGTTGATATAAAACGTGAGTTGTATAAGCAAATTGCTTTAATTGTGCAGTAGACAGCTGTCTGCTTTACATAAGCACTTCAGAGCTGCTTAATATTTCAAGGATAAAGCTTGAAAGTTAAAATTGTGTTAAAACAGAATAAGGCTGACGCACAACTTTGTGGAGTTAGAATATCAATATCATATGTTGAATTCCAGTAATCACCATTCTACAACATATTTATTATGTATGCATACTTGTATTTACAGTATCTCTGATTTAAATCACCTAGAATTAAACGATGTTAGTCTGCTGTACACTGTTATCGACAGACATCCAGATTATATACTAATTTTTTATTTTATAGTTTTCGTATTTATGTAACCAAATTGATTTACCAAATTCAAACATTGTGCTACACTAGCTTAAACTGCTTGCTGCATTGCAACTGCTTGCTTCTTATACAATTTCTCGCCCATCTTAAGCATAAGCTAAATGCTATGCATATGCCGTAAGAAAGCTGATTGTTATGATCAGGACACTTGTTTCTCGCTGTCTTTTCACTTAGTTTTAAATGTTTCAATTTGCATGCCACAACATGTCGTATGATCAATATCAACCCATTAAATGAAGTTATTATACAACAAAGACAAAAGCATATGCACGACAATATATAAATCAAAGTGGGATTGCCTTTGTCACGCCTCTTTGTGAGCGCATGAGATCATCGCGGCGATAAATCGACTCCATTCTCGCCTCCAAAATAACGCCTAGAGCCACGCAGACTTTCCCAAAACACAAAAAAAACGGCCATTTGCATAACTAGCTGTAAAAGTGTTTAAAACATTAACAATCGCTAGCGATTGGCTGAATGTTGAATCCGCCAAAAAAAAGCCAAACGAAATGATATACGAAACAACAAAAGCAACAAATACAACAGCAACAATAAAAAGCTAAATAAAAAATATGCTCAGTTAATGTAAAACGCAAACCAGTTCTAAACAGTAGAAAAAGAAACAACAGCAACGCTGCTGTTGGTCGAAACGTTGGGCGCATCATTGGAGACCACCTTGACTGCTGGTGCTGCCTCGCTTCTTGCTGCTCACTGCTCACCGCTGACTGCTGGCAGCAGACTTCGCGCTTCTCCCGCCATTCCAAATACAATTGGATCGGGTAACTTTGAACTGGGCGTCTAGGTGTTGCTGCTGTCGCTGCCATGGTGTCCAAATTGATGTTTCAATAAAGACTATAAATTTATGACTTACGAATCAAGTGGTTAAGAGACATTCCCCAATGCCGGACAACGAGTAGGTGTCGCCATTGGTGCCACAATGAATTAATTTGGACAATTTATGAGCCAATCTTACAGACAGCCACAGCCACAACCACAGCTAGCTAACCAGCTACGGCTAGGCCAATCGGTATGCCTATTCAGCTGGCACGGTGGTCGAACGTTTCTATTCGAGAAATTGAATTATAATTTGATGCCCCAAACGCATCTGCATACATTAACGAATCGATTGGGCCACATAAATCTGGCAGCTGCGACACAATTAGGAGACGCCAAAACCAACCAAAGCCGCCACCCAAAATTGACAGCCAAACCAGGCAGCCAGGCCAGTCAGCCAGCTAGCTAGCCAGTCGATCCGGGCCAAAAAGTGTACGTACATAAATAGTCTGCATTGCTGCGCTCCAACAGCTGAAAGATAAACCTAAACGTAAACATTCTCAACAGAAAGAGCAAGTCGATGCAGCGATGCTCTTTGTAGAGTCTGCTACTTAAGGCAATTAATATCAGATTATATAAACTAAAACAAAGATGTATTAAAAGGAGTATGGGGCTTTAGTCTTGACTGCAACAGTTAAAATAGTTAGAAAGTTCTTTGTTTTTTTTTTGCTGATAATTGAATGGAATTTATCGATTCCTATTCCATTTTATTCGTGAAACGGATTCTGAATGCAAGTTATGATATGATATAGTTTCCATTATATATTGGGCAATATATATTGGTCGATATATATGGATATATTACAGCTTATCGATTTATATCGATAACTATCGATTTATTAACTCACACATGCAGCTTGAGCAAAAATTTGGAACTATTCGTACCATGTGTAGTAGAATAATTTTGATAAAAATCTAAAAATATTTTTAAAAAATTCGTCAACAAATTTGACAACTCTGGAAATTTAAAATAGAATTGAAAAAATGCATTTGATCAAAAATATACTGGCTTAAGCAAAAAAGTTTAGATAAAGTACAGAAATATAATAATAATAATAATAATAATAATAATAATAATAATAATAATAATAATAATAAAAATAAAAATAATAATAATAATATATATAAGAAATTAATATATATTAATAATAAATTTTCTTAAGATCTTAGATTAAAGAGCCAAATAGTTTGACTAAAGTCGGAAGCTACAAATTTCCAATGTTCAAAACCAAAGTTGTAGATAGATCTTCAAATAAATAGAATCAATCATAGATGACAAAGGCAACAGCTGAGCTTATGTGCTCCGACTGCGCTTACGGATTCTCAAGAGCTGGAACCAAGAGCTGTCCACATTCTGCAGGCTTGCCATGAACTGACTCTTAAAATGTCTCATTTAAATAACTTGCATGCATTTAGTCATCCTTTTTGTCCCAACTTGGCAACAGGCTGCAACTCGTTGTTGTTGTTGTTGTAGCGGGCATGCGCCCAGGGCAGAGATCGACAACGACGACGACGACGACGTCAACGTTAAGTGGACACAAAAGTCGCCTCTCGTTGAGAGTGTCGGCGGAGAGTATGTAAATCGTATGCGATTCTTTGTTTGAGATTTGCAGCAGGCAGTTGCTGCTTGATCGATTTTGTCTTGCTTTTGTCAATGCAATTCAATTGTTTGACACAAACAAAAGGATAAACATGTCTGCACAAGATTTACATCAACTCCCCATGTGTGTGTGCGAGTGTGCGTGTGCTTTTGTGTGTGTTTAATGGAGACATTTTTATTTGGTCCCTGCTAAATCTTTGTTTGACAAATTTTGAGCTGTTGTTGAGAAGTTGCAGCAACCAGCAGGCAGCAACTGCTGCATTTTAATTAATTCAAATGCAATTCAGCAGCATCCGAAGACGAGTGAAGTCGCGCTGATTGAAGCTGAAAGCCAGCACGTGAGACAGCAGCAGCAGCAGCAGCAGCAGCAGGCAGGCAGCAGGCAGACAATCAGACAGCAGCCACTGTCACTTTTT